GTCTAATTAAACTGTATTTTAGCTTCAACCAAAAGTGCGTCGTCGTTATGATGATTATGACAACAGTGATGATGATGATGAAGAAGACGAAGAAGATGATGATGATGCTGATAATTTGGATGATTCACTTGATATGTAAGTTAATGAACTGATCTATTTGAGGTCAAATTTACTGATTTAACTTGTTGTCAGATTCTGTGTCATATTTTGTCTCACTTCAGTAAATCAAAGGCTTATAAGATTGTGCAACTTTTATAACCATATATGGTGACATGCAATGAATATCCATCCTGTCATTTGAACTAGTACTGACCAAATGGGTTACAGAATGCCATGGATGCTTGTCTGTAACCATGGGAACATTTGATTGTGAAAAAGAGGATTGAGTGAAGTTATCACCTTGCTTAAAGAGTCAAAAAACATGCAATACAAACACTGTAAATGTGCACTAAAAAAACATCCTGTGACAAAGTCAGTACATTGAGTAGATTCAGCAATGTGTGTTTATCTTGAGAATTCAAATTTGATATTCATTAAATTTGACACCAGCTGCATATTATTTTGTATTTTGATAAAATATAAAACATATGGTCAAGAAAAGTCTGACATATTTTTTTTTTTTTTTTGTCTTTTTATATTTTTTGCAGTCCATACCAAGGATTAGGCGCAAGGTTGATAAATGCCGTTGGTGGAGTGTTTGGACTCGGTGTAGCAAGGTACGTAATTGTATTACCTATGTCCATTATGGGATGTCGCAATGACCAATACTTTGAATAGAATCATTGATGTTTCAACACAAAAAGAAACCATCAAGTTTTGATTTCTCTGGTTTTACATTACTGAGAGCGTATGTGTGCCAGCGACACTGTGCGAATCGATTTGACGTGTCAGTTAGGTACGTGTACAAACAATATTCTAGATACAAGTTGACAAGCAGATACTGTATTTACTCTATTAATAGCGCATGCACTTTCATAAATGATAGTGGTGTGTCTGTTGTCAAAATAAATCAATGATTCAGCATTGAATAAATGCAAGTTTTGTTTTATGTGTGCTTTTTGCCTTGCCCGTAACATCAAAGATGGAAAGGAAAGGTATATTATATAACAAAGAGCAAGGTCACCAGAGTTCAACTATGTTGTCTGAGATGGATTTCTAACTGAATAATTACAATATGAAGTAGAGGCTGTATTTCCTTCAGGTCAACATATTTAGTTGTATGCTAAATTTCAACTGGAATGGTATCTACTTGTCTTTGGTGGGAACACTAAAATTTCGACCACTTTTAAATAATTGCTTTTGAAAAACGATGGGCTTTTTAGAATACAAAATAACGATAAATTTCCGGCCAGTTGAATTTTTTTAGAATAAAAATTCAACAAATATAAAAGTTGGGTTATATACAGTTTCAGAAATAGAATAGTTATAGAAAGTCATGTCTTTAAACAAATTGTTTTAATAAAAATAAGTGAGCAATTTCTGGTGAGATCAACATTTTGGAGGTCAATAAATTACAAAAATTCAACAAATAATTGGTGGCTGAATTTTTAGAGTGGGTGAAATTTTGGAGTGTTCACGGTAAAGGTTATTCTATTTTTTTTCAGGCCTCCACCTACCATTTGTAGACAGTGCCCAGGGTGTGTAACTACGGACGCAACAACAACTGTTACTACTACTGCTACCACTATTGCACTTGCAGAAACTGCAGCTGTTGTAGTAACAAACACACCTGGTGTTACTGCAACTGCAAGTTCAACTACTGATAGTAAGAACCAGCCGTCCACATCAACTGGCATGGCACCGGATGATCCAAAACCATCCACTTCTACCGATGATGCAGGGACCACTGTACCAGCAGGGACCACCCGGACTACTCCAGATGGGGAAGTGATTCCGATGGTGGAACCGCCACCGTTCACTTGTGACGTTGGACAAGTTCATTTGATGTGTTTATGTTGTAAACAGCCTATGCCAGATAGAAGAACGGCTGCAGTCACAGATCCTACGATACCTACACAGCAATGTACGTTTATGCTCATGTTCGAATATTTTTGAATGTTTTTGATTACCTTAGGGTTTGTTTGCAGAACTCTCAATGCCTGTTGTGCAGATTGTGATTTTATATTGTGTAGCACATTATATTGTAGAAAAAAATGCCACAATTTTCTCTGACTTTTCTTTGATTTGGGATAATAATCTCCAAGCATGTACCATGAAAATGTTATTAATAGTTCCACCAATTTTTATGAAATGCTTACTTAGTTCTTATTGTTTAAAGTTCACAAAAAAAAACACTGTAGCACACTGCAATGAAAAATA